ATGTCACGATATAGAACTTCGGATTGCTTCGGGTCGGCCATGTTAGTTGACCCGAAAAAGCCCGAAGTTTCGATGAAACGAAAGAACTAAAACGTTGATTGAATCTTCAACTTATTGAAAATTCTTATTATGATGTAAAAAATAAATCAAATAATAAATTTTATCATTAGTTTTTCTTTATTTTAATTAGTTTTGCAAATTTTTACAAAATATTACAAATGTTCTTAAACTTCAAAAAAAAATTCTTAAATTACAATAAATTATAGTTCAAACATTTATGTTAAAGATTTTAACATCAATAAACGTGCCTCTTATTTTGATTAATACTGGCTTTTCTTTGATTTATACTTACTATCATATTATCACAAATGAGTTTTTTGTGAACATATAATTTTTTTAATTGTCAAATCTTACTGTTATATTTTTTTATTTTGTGCATAAATCGAATTTTTTTATTGATTTAAAAAATTACTCGTCAGAAAATAATAAGAGTTAGAAATTAGGATTTTTTGTCCTATTCTTTATAGTTAAAGAAAAATTCTATTATTCAAATGTTCACGTCGAATAAAAATAATCAACATTTACTATACTAATAAGCTTTCCTATACTAATAAGAAAGTAATCTATAAAAACCAGTCAAATTTCTGATTCAAAATATTCGTTTTGTCTCTTAGAATTTGTTTTGTCTCCTAAAATAGATCTCTTTTTGGCATCTGGATTACCACTTGCATTTCCCTCTTCTGCATTTGGCTTATATCGTTTAAGTAGCTTGCTCGCTTTTTCCACATCTTCTTCTGGCATTTTAGCTTTTTCCAAAACTTGTATGTTGGTCATATTCTTACAGTTGAGCTTGAGAGGACCTATAGTAATATAATATATATATATATATATATATATATATATATATATATATATATATATATATATATATATATATATATATATATATATATATATATATATATATATATATATATATATATATATATATATATATATATATATATATATATATATATACTTTAATAATTACAGAAACAATTATAAAATAAAAATAAGTAATGTATAAAGTAAATAAATTACCATCACGATGAACATTTCCTGTAACTAAAACACAAGCTCCTTTCACAAGGTCATTGGCTTCTTTTTCTTCGAATCTAGACACATGAATTTGCAATTTATGTACCCCATCGGTTATAGTTCCAACACCAAAATTTTTTCTTCCATCTTTACCATATGCAAATTCAACCACAGTTTTGATATAACCTTCCACCACTGAAAAAAGAAAAGAAATAATTTTAAAAACTAGTTTGACTAAAAAATATAATAATATATGAGAGAGAATACATACTAATTTCACCAATAGCTTTAGCAACGTCAACAAACTGTATTTTAGGAATATTTGATACTTGTAGTTGTTTAGTATGCACATGAGTACCTCTGTACTTTACTTTTGTATTTGCTTGAATGATTATTTCATAATTCAAAATGTCACTATTGTTTTTTCTTTTTTTAAATGCTAATTGCCCTTGGCATCCATCAAGATGCAAGATCTGCAAACAAATTATAAATTTATTAATGTAATTGACATACAGAGTGAATATTTTTCTCAATTAATGCCAAATCAACATACTCTGTCTGCCATAAGCTGTCCTGATAGTTCGTTTATTTTTTCTTCATCCCAAATGAGTAGCATAATCTTATATGTCCCATTACTAATTACACATTTAAACAGTTCATTTTCTTTGCCATTAACAACAGCTGTACTACGTCCAAGAACTTGTACAATGTAGCCAACAAATTCCCTATAATTATAAAAAATAATAAAGAATATTCATTTAATAAAACACTATTTATCATACTATTATACAATATAGGGGCATATACTTGCAAATAATACAAGATTTATGTAGGATTCTGTTAGTAGTATTAATGGATATATAACTCACATGCAATAATCTACCTCTCCAGAATCCATCAAATCTTTGATTTCTTCATCAGATGTGTACCGAATATCTACACCTTCTTTATTTCGTGGCATTTTTTTAATCTACAATCAACAAGTTAATTATACTATAACCTAATACTACGCAAATATAGTTATAATGAACATAATACGTGAATAACCTAATACTACGCAAATATAGTTATAATGATCATAATACGTGAAAAACAATAAATGTACTTACACTTGCGTATTCAGGTACAAAATGATTCAGGTACAAAAATAAAATGATTTCTTTGATGATCTGATGCGATAATCTGATGCGAAAGCCACGTGGAATTCTATACCAATATGTGCTACCTACTATATGCAGTGTTACGATATCTATATAATCATGACATGATGAACTGCCGGACTGTCCAGCTTGCTTTGTTTTTTAGTCGCGCATGCGCATTTACAACGCATGTTGAAGAAAAATAACACTGAAGGAGAAAATAAAATTTGACCATCATCGGTATAATACAATAGAAAAAACAGCGGAAACGTTAATTATATAATTTGTAAATAATATTAATAATATAATATGTAAAGAACTTTCAAATGAAATAACATTTTGGGAAATTTGAACGTTAATATATGAAAAAAATTAAAATCGTGTCTGCTCATATAGAAAGCTGTTGTGTATATAGAGTCGCGTTGTACTGCGCTTCCGGCATTCATGCCGCAGGTCGCTGTCGCGACCCTTGATTACAAAAACTCAATTGTCATTTTTATTTCTATTTTCCAACGTATCATTTATGCTAATAGAGAATTTTTTGTAAAAATAATTTTTTATTTGAATACCAATTAGAAAAAATACTTTTACTTAAGCTTCGAAAAATATATTTAGACGTTGCAAATATTTTTTTCGTGAAAAAAATTGACATAAAGTGATTTTTTTTCACTTTTTTATATTTCTTTTTTCAAAAATGAGTTTTTTCAAAAACGGCCCTCAGAAATTCTGTAAAAATTTAAATGAGCTTACATTTTGTGTTTCTGAATCGAACCCCATGATTTTTTTCGTGGTGCTTTTCCATGCTATTTAAAGTTGGTTCAGGACCACCGTGTATAGTATTTAGCAGATAAATTATTGGCTTGAACGTCTTATTCAAGACTTTATCAGCGCAATCTCGAGCATGCTTCAGTGAATTATACTTCTTTCTGACTACATCTTGCGCTTTCACAAATTGCGCTATTGCGTATCTTGCGCTCTTACGAGCTTTCAAATATTTACAGAAGAGTCCAAGCATTCTTGTAATCAGAGCTTGTAAATAACTATTCTTCAATATTATTAATTACTAAAATTAGTGGAATGAAACTGATTATTGAATATGTAACAGATAATGATACTAATTTTAATTAAGAAGAAAAATCAATAAAATACTAAATTAATCTACAATAGCTTTCTTTTTAGACTTGGATGGCAATAAAATGAGCTATAGTGTTTTAGTGAAAGATACTTCATCACGCGGTTAGGTAATTTATCTATCACATCCTTATTTCGAAATAAAGCCATAAGAAATTCAAGCCGTTACAATACGAGGTGTCTTCAAAAAGTACCCGGAATTATCGTTTTTCCAAAAAAATATTTATTTATTCGTTTACATCAATATGGTCCCCTTCAAAGTAATCCCCCCACAGATATAATACACTTATGCCAGCGTTTTTTCCAATCTTCGAAGCAATCTTGATATTCACTTTTTGGTATGTCCTTGAGCACTCTCAGCGATTCGGCCTTTATTTCTTCAATCGAGGAAAAACGCCGTCCTTTCATGGGTCTCTTCAACTTTGGGAACAGGAAAAAGTCACACGGAGCCATATCTGGTGAATATGGAGGTTGGGGTACGACTACGGTATTGTTTTTGGCCAAATAAATTACGAACAAGCAACGACGAGTGAACAGGTGCGTTATCATGATGCAAAAGCCATGAATTGTTTTACCATAAGTCGGGGCGTTTTTTTCGGATTGCTTCACGCAAACGTCGCATAACTTCAAGGTAATACTCCTTATTAACCGTACAACCTTGTGATAAGAACTCATGATGCACCAAGCTCCTGCAGTCAAAGAAAACTGTAAGCAAAACCTTCACATTTGATCGAACTTGACGTGCTTTTTTCGCTCTTGGTGACGTTGAATGCCTCCAGGTAGACGATCAATCGAAACTCAACATAATACCTTATCTAAACGTCGGATTTCGCGCTATGTGCGAATCCGGGGTCAAAAAGAGGGGTTTCCATTACAAAAAACACTTCGACCTTGAAATGACCTTCAAAATGAGGTTGAAGGTCAAAGATTTTTGTTGCATTGGGTGGCACACTCTGTTCTGAACAAATTTTGTAGAGGTCATTTTTCGATATCTTAAAAATTAAAAAAACGCTTTTAGGCAGTTTTTCAAGCATTTGACCTTAAATCGACCTTCTCAAGGCGATGAAAAAAAATTTTAAATATCTTTGTGGACGTAAAATTTCCCGCTCTTTTCGAATCCGATGTCAAAAATAGAGGTTCCATTTAAAAAAAACAATTCGACCTTCAAATGACCTTGAAAACGATGTTCAAGGTGAAAACTAATTATACAGATAGATGGCCCCCTTTGTCGTAAACAACTTTCATCTGAAACATTTTTCACAAAAACACGAATTTTCGATTTTAAAATGGCTGTACGAATGGTCTGGAACACCCGGTATATTAGTTTCTCGTTTTTCTATTTACTCTAAAATAATGTCGATTTGATTCGAGCATAAAATTTAATAATACTAAATACCAATATGAGATAAGCGCGCGAAGCGCTTTTAATATCACTAGTATATTAATATTTATTATAATTTATTAAATTTAATAAAATATCACCATACTAAATTTGTAAATGTTACATATTTAGAATATGAGAGTGTATAGTAACACAGTTTTCAAACGTTATATAAAAATAGCTATAAGATGATCAATATAGTATTAAAAAAATTATATAAGAAAAAAGTTAAATACTATAATCTTTCTTACTGATATAATGATACTGACCTTGCTATCTGTTTGAAATGAAATTTTCTTCTGAGATTTTTGGATGTGCAGTTTTTTTCTCGATTTTTTTTCCATAAATGCGTTTTCCAAGCAGCTTCCTGCAATTATAAAAATAGTAGATATGTTTACCAGAAATCATTTTGTCACATATATATATATATATATATATATATATTGTAACGATGAACGTTACATTTATGCACTCATCTTGTCGGTGGGACTCTTCACGGGGGCAGCACCTGCCGGCTAGGAAGTGAGGGCACGCGTTATGTATGGGGGGGTTCGGGGGTACGGAGAGATAAGCAGGAGGGTCATGTGGAGACTACCTTTAGACACAAATGTTCTTTGCTGAGGTCCGAACTCTTGAACTTCGACATTGACCTGACGTGGTAGTTATCGTGTGCACCATTTCCCCGACAGAAAAGTAAAGGCACTCTGAGCTTCAACCGATACTAGAAGTCACAAAGAGCCAACTCCTTTTGTGACCAAAAATAACATGAGTGACGACAGAAAGTAGATTTTGCAAGATAAGCTGGTCAGCTCAGCGCAATACACTCGCACGATCTGTTCGTATATTATCCATGCAATATAAGACGCAATCCTAGATAGATCATCGGTCGATCTTACGTGAGCTCGGAAACCACGATTTTATAGTTACGCGCTTATCGTAGATCGTCTATAGGCGAACAATCATTGCGTGCACGTGGCAGCGAATAAGATGGCAGTATCCGTATCTGCTACGCACTAGTAAATTATCATTGCGGTGCAGGTCTTAATTTATAGTAGAATCGTAGTATAATAAATAATACCGTTCTGATAATTGAGACCGACTTATGTTAATCATTGACTAACCCTTCAGAAGCGCCCATTCCTATACTCGTATGTTTGCATTTGCCATACGCCTTCGTGTTTTCGCGTCCATTTTTAAATAGCGAAATACACCAATACTTTCGAGCGAAGCTGAAGCTGCCTAATAAAAGTAACGGCAGCAATCGACGGGGACTTCGCCCGGAGGCAAGGCCATACGCTCAAGGTAAGTACGCGGTGCAATGATCGACGCAGAAAAAGTGTTTGTGCTTGCCCGTGGAGTCAATTCTCAATAAGGACACAGAGCGCCGCTAAAGCGTACACCATTGTGTCATGACGCTCCTGCAACTCGCGGTTATCCACGCGCACGTAAAGAAGCTTGCCTGCGAACCTAGACACCGCGTAGTCCACCAAAGATCCTACCTCGTTACATGGCGCCCAATGTAAATTAATTCGTGGCGTTCGCGGTAAGTCAGAACGCCAGTTCATAATAAAATACGCATTTGCACGAGGCGTTAATGAGCTCGCCTAAAGCACACACGTACTAATTCGTGCATAGGTCAGTCAATGAACCACGTGGCATTTAGAATATTGATTGTGCACATTTTAAATAATAATCAAGCGCGCCACATGGTAGAATAGGTTAGTTCGTAAGTAAATGTATAAAGGCTTACCGCGGACTTAAACGTCGTAACCGATCGAAACAAGAGTCACAATTGTAAGGGCATGCGAGTGCGACCAAGAGATTCTTGGAAATTTAACACGCATTTACCAATACGGTTTGAATGTTTAGAAACGGTTGAATCAGATACTAAACAATATTGTACCCATTGGCATAGGGAAAATACTAACACCGACAACATTCAAAACAAAAACAAGCACGGTACGAGCTAAAGAAAATCGCCAATGCCGATAACATAATTTAGGTACGATTTTTTAATGTCGTTGATACGAGTCGGCTAACATAAACACAGGCACTACAAGGATATGAAATTCTTTGTTTTTGTTTAACTTAAATAATAGAAATTAAAGGTAAAAACGATTTGTACAAAACTATAAAATTAAAAAAAATAGCAATAATGAAATAATGACTGTACATGGAAGTTTTATGAAAAACAAAATAAATAAATTATATGAATGTTGCCTTTGCACAAAAATTACTTACGTATTTAACAAATCTTCAAATTCACCGACTTCCATATGTTTTTTCCAAATTTTCTTACATAGCGGACTCTTATTTTCCAAATAGTCCTTATTTTGATTTGAATTATTGAAATTTTTATTTGCTATTATAAAAGAAAGTTGGTTATTGAAAAAGATTACTACGACGATGAAATATGATGAATAATCTGCAATATGGCTACAATTGCCTGGTGCAGGAAAATGTAATAAAATCGGAAGTAAGAGTGATTCTCGTTTTATGTACTATAACAGGCTGCCGTTTAACCTGTAATTCCCCTTGAATATACCTACTCAATGGCTAAACGACGCCTAGTTATCTATGTGCTCGAAGCACATCAACCTACCTTGTCCTGGCGTGCGCCTGCGCAGAGTCTCCTCGCCAATCCGAGTTGGGTTCCCCCAACTCGCCACTTGGCGGCGCTGTCGCTCCTGCTTAGCAGCGCTTCTGCGGCTGCTGCTCGAAACTAGGATGGCGATTCGCCTCTACCGATCTCCGCGCGGTCCGTGCCAGACTACCGGCTAATTCGAACCGAATGTAAACAATGATACACACTCCGGACAAAGGATGGACGAAACGATGACTCGATTAAGAATCTCAGTTAAACGCTTTATTCAAATTGACCAAGTACACGGGGGATTTGCCGAGAGTCTTGCGCATGCAAACGCGAATGACAATACACGCTAAATGGGAGAGAGAGAGAAAACCGCGATCGCCGCGAACTAATCGCTCGCACGCTATAATTTACTTCTTCGCGCACGCTGCGCGGAATCGCACGCCAACAATGAAATTGCAAATAGTGCACCTACCGCGAGATGGTTGGGGATACGGTGGCCAACCGTATCCGATGCACGCGTCGCTAATTTGCTGCTCCGCCACTCGCTGCACTCCGCTGTTATTGCTGTTGTTGTTGTTGCTGCCAGGTTGTTACTGTCGGGGTTGTTGCTGCTGTGGTTGTTGCTGCTGTGGCTGCGCACGAACACTCCACTCACTTCAACAAGTCCTTGCTCCCTGGATCTCACTTAGATATAAAATGTCCAGTTCTTTGGCACACAAAGCGTAGAGGTGATATCACCGGACCGAGTAACACAGTCATACTACCTGTTGAACTCTCCCCTCCCGGTCATTGCCCCTACGCGCCCTCTCTCTCTCGCGAACCGATCGCGGCTTTTCTCGTTCAGCCGCTTATTAACCTCGCGCGAGTCGAACGATTTTCGGTAATCGTTGCAGTACGTATATTAATCAACGCTTAATAATGATTGTGAGATAGTGTATCGTGCACGGTCATATATACAGGTCTCAAAACTTCGAGAGTAGGGGCGATCTAATGGTACATGCGACCTGTGATTTACTAGGTGAAGCACACAGGGAAACAAAATTAACCATCGGTGGAAGAGGCGGGCGTTGTGGACGAAGAAATTTCTGGTTTCTCTTGATAATTGAAATAATTTTATGTCTATATCAAAACATTATTTTTAACAGTCATGTCTTAATTTGGAAAGCAACCAAGTAATGAAAATCTAAATGAAACATCTCCGTCACATGTTGTTCAAGACAAACAAGATACTGAAAATAATTCTATACCACAAGAAAATGTAAACGATAAAGCTATAAAGACAAAGAGAGAATCAGAAACGTCATCGTGAATTTTACTTTAATTACAGAAAAGATCATGAAACTAAATTTATCAGAGACAATAAGATTCGTAAAGTCTTGAAAGTATCGGTGGAGATGGCGTATTTGTAAAAATTGAATATAATTTATATTCTTAATAAATACTATTAAAACAATAGAATTTGTGATTATTTCTAATTTCTTTAAATGATTTTACAGCAACAACATAAAGTTTAACATAAAATTTAACCATGTAGGAAATTCATGAAAGACATCCAACTTCCAAATTGGGATTATTTAGATCTTGGTAAATCTAGAAAAATTTTAGAGTTAACAAAACGGTAGTGTAACAAAAGATATTTAGAAGCTTCAAGTCTGTTTTCAAAATAATTTTGTAAAAAGTTATAAACAAAAGACTCTGTTTTGCATTACTAATCTTTTCTTTTTCTCGTTTGTCTTTCTCGCTCAATTAGTTGAAATTTTATCTGCAGAAATATGTGGGTAAGTAAATTGATACGTAGTACGAATCAAGACCTTCAAATTGCAACCAGTGCGGCTGAAAAATAATCATTTAATACGAAACTTTAATAAGATGTTTTGGTACTGGAACCACTTTTAGTCTGTTCGTCTTCGTGTACTTTAAAAGTGGAAATTCGTTGCAGATATTAACATTCAATAGCAAAATTTTGAGATGATTAAAGGGTGAATGAGAAAATTGATAGTATGTGTAGTACAAAAATATTTGAGTATATATCGTTCTTTTAATTTTTATTTAGACTGTAACGGGGCGGTTATCTAAAAAATGAGAAATTTATTAACGCACAAAATCCCACGATGCAGAGCTAACCGCCGCTCCGTTAAACACGTATAGTTATACGTGCATTCGCCTTTACGTTTGATACTTTCGTTTCAGTGTCTTCTTTCCAACCGAGTTGAACTTACCTTAAGTCACTTAACTTGTGACACTCGATCTATCTTAGGTGTGAGTGACCTAATGTTTAATCCGATTAATCCCCTAGACGAAATCGAATTAAAACTTAATCCTTTATAGATCTGTTAAGCTATTAGAAAACGAAATGACGTAAACGGCGAATAAAAATTAATAATGTTTAATTCATAAAAAAAACTAGTTTTTTACGTGCCGAAAGACTAACGCACGCGAAGAAGGATTTACAATTATTGATTATAATTTGGTGAGAGAGAGAAAGAAAATTTGAACTTTTGCCGCGAAAGTTAACGCAAAAAAAACAACGCTCGTGATTGACAAACACATGCAAAAGTATTTTATCACGTAATAATAGGGACGTGCACCTACCGTGGGGTACAATTACGGTGACTAGCCGTAATTCTTGAAGAAAATCTATGGTCGATACTTATCAAGTATCAGCTGCGCTGCTTCCCTCGTAATATCTGCTATTACTTTGTTGCTGCTTTGATTGCTGCTGTTGTGATTCTGCTTGTTGTGATGCTCTTCGCTTTCATTAGCATAAATCCAAA